AGATGCTCAAGATTTGATACCATCAATCTTATTGTTCAGCATTCATTTCATGAAGTTGAATGTCTTGATATGTATACAATTACAGAAGAGGATGTCGAGTATATGAAACATTTTATCATAAAATGTTTATCCGGAGGATTAATTATTCAAATTACCAATAGTTTTCCTTCTCGACATATTCTCAAGGATTGGTTACGTAGTATAGATCAGATTTCAGAACGTTATAATATATCTATTCATCAGAATAGTTATTGGACTCAGTATCTGTTGTGGGATGGTACTTTTTATAATTCTTCGAATTATAAAAAAGGAAAGTTTATTAAGTTAGATTTTTATGTTAAGTACGATAATATAATATAATAATATAATATTGATGTAATCATATTATAAGTTGTTGATATCTGTTGTTTACAAAGTTAATAAAATAACAGCAATCTTCGATTGCTTTCCCATTAAATTTGTCCTGTCTCAGTATTCAGTATCAGTTCAAGTTTACGTTCACATTACAAGAGAATTCTAAATAAAATTCTCCTCCAGGCTACTTTACGTATCTTCAGGCCGTCAGGCGAAGTGTCATCCTTGCGTTTGGGGTCATACTCAATCCAATCTAAATTATAATTGGGCTTGGCCCAATTCGATAGTATGATCCATCAAGAATACGCCGTCGTTTCTTTAAGTTAAAGTTTCCAAAATTATATTTTGATTTGGGTGAAAGTTATAGTTTTGATTTGGGGGTTTAGAGGGAGAAGAAGATTGAAATGAAACCGCGATTTTCAGAGGGAAAAGAGAGGAGCGCTGGGAGCGGGAAGTTCGTGGGCTGGAAACATGAAAGTTACACACTCGGGGTTTTGGACTTTGAATATTCTTGTGGGCTTATCGTGACACACCCCGATTCAGAAAGTCCATTTGGATCCTGAATCGAGCTGTGCTGGCCAACACCTAGAAGGTGACGAAGCCATAAAATGTGATAGTGTATAAAAAGTGAATAAATTTGAATCTAAAAGTGTCTAAGTACCAGAGTGCGATACGAGTGGGAGCGAACCCATTTCACACGCGATGTCAGAGCATAAGTAAGGTACAATAGTGTGGGTAAGAATCATACCCTTAGAAATATCCATCAATACTAAGATTCGCCACAGATTTTTGTCGATACAAACTCAGCAGCTAAAACTTGGAGGGCACCAAACAGAAGGTGTGAGTAAGCAATAAAACCAAGCTTCCCAAAGTTATTACCTCTCTAAAAGTAATGCCCATAAATATAAAACCCGTATCATTTTCCATAAGACAGTACCACATATATACATATATCCAAACCATACTCAGAAATGACCAAAACCACGGTTTACCATCAACTCCACCATACATTAATAAGTAGGCCAAATGAACTAAATCAATACAAAGTGATATATTAGTCAGAATCGTCTAAAATAACATGTACAACTTATCCATATCTCATCAATCATGACTAGCATATAAGTCAGAGTCACCTATAGTGACCTGTACGACTTATCCATATCTCATCAATCCTGGCTAGCATATAAGTCGGAGTCACCTATAGTGACCTGTACGACTTATCCATATCTCATCAATCCTGGCTAGCCAATAGCTCAATAAGTATACCTGCACACGAGTCGGAATCACCTAAAGTGGTCTGTACGACAGGACTGGGTGTAAATAAATACGCTCAAGTGCTACGATCACGTGAAGACTGAGCGAATAATCGCGGGTCACCTACGAGTCGGAACCACCTAAAGTGGTCTGTACAACAGGACTGTGCACCTACCTTGAATCCAATGTGAGCGTAAGGTGCGGGAGGTGAACATCACGTGAAGGACTGTGCCCTGGCCATGGGCGGGAGTATTAACATCGGGGTGCAGGTTTATGAGCTCTCAATGCATCTCAATATAACATGTGGAACTCATGGCAACCAGTACGACAGTATCGAAGTTGCCTAACACATAACTGTAGTCATGCTATAACTCAATCGATTCAACTAATACCATAAACTCACCTGAGTGTCCTGAGTTCACCTTTGCACTCGAAAGCATTCCCAATAATTATATGCAAGTAATATACATATGAATATACCATGATGCAATCTAATACTCAACCATGTCGTAGCATTTTCAATTATAAACAATACAATGAGAAATGTATAATCAATAACGTCTTACTCCCAAACTACTTATTTTCAGGGATAATTATCCATGACAACCCAATTAACACTAATTTAACTAACTAATTCATAAAACTAAAACTTGTCTTTACCAATTTCCTTCGCATTACTCAATTTCCCAAGCAAGGCTTTTGTCTCAAATATTTTATGGCTACATCTAACGTCTCGTTAGACTGCCTACGTATCCTAAACAGGGATCAAACCATTCGTAGTTCATATAGTACTTCAAGCATTCACAATAATTATATATGAAAGTAATATACCTAATCAATTTAAAAGTGTCGATAGAACTCTCAACAATATGTACGATAAAAAGGAAAAGATCCACTTACTTGGAGTCCACGCTATGATTCTCTAGCGCACACATCGAGGCGTCCTGAATGATTGGTCATTGTGACCAATTATCAAATCACATCTCAGAACTCTTATTCGAAGAATACGTAATTCACATAAAACACAACCTCAACGACATTCTAAAATAGTTTGGGACCCATTTACCACAAGTCAACCGTCGATCAAAGATCGACGGTAGGGTTTATAACCCTGTATAACTTGACCCGGAAGATCCGCATATCAGATTTCCAATCTGCAACTCCCAACGATCCACAATATGTTTCTAGAATAACATATTAAAATTTCATTATGATCCAACAGTCAGATCTCCGCCAATTGCCTAAAACAAGTGGCCGTGAACATTTATTTTACTAACTTACAAATCCAATTCAGGAAGATCCGTAAGTCGGATTCCCGATCCATAAATTCCTATGATCTTTAAATATTACGTATTATAATGTATCCAATTTTGGTGACGATCCAACGGTCGGATCGTCGATTCACATTTTTATCAAGTAACGTATCGTAACGAATTTAAGTTCCAACCATCAACCTACGCTATTCAAATGACAAAACTGAATTCAAGACATTTGACATAGCCTAAAAATAGCATTGGCGGCCCACTGGCCACGCGTTGCCGCGGGTGGCGGTCGGCCGCCCCGACTCGCCGGAAAATCCAACTATTTTAAAAAATTCTCAAACTTCACAGAAATGAAGATCTCAGTGAGTGGAGCAACTTTCATACCTGCCACAAAGTCCAAAAGTGGACGGAAGATGGTCAATTTTGCCCACAAAGTCGGCGGGTGCTTAAAACTTCCCGACGTCGATTCGTCGTCTACGGTGGTCCAACGGGGTCAAGGTTGGTTGGGTTTTTCTCCTGGGATGATGGGCTACAAAGCCCAGGTGGTGGCATCGGCTATCGCTTTGCCGATTTGCTGGAAAATCGAAAAGGGTGGCCAGAGCACCATTGATTTTCGTCAACTTTCGTGACCTCAAACCGCCACATACCATGGTTAATCAAGGTGGTTCTTGGGTGGGTTTTTGTAGAGGGGAATGAGAGCTTCAAGATGGTGGTGGTGGCATCGAAAAACTCCACCGGAGTTGGTCGGAATCGGCCTTGGAAAATGGACTCGCGGTGGTGCGGGTATGGGTGCACGGGAAGCTTTCCCCCCACCCCCCCTCCTTTTTTTTTTTTCTTTTCTTTTCTTCTTTCTTTCTGATTGGCTGCAAGCTTCACTTTTCTCTTCTAATTGGTTCCTTGTCCCTTTAATTTAATTGGTCCACTAATCCCACAAGGTGGGAATTCAAATATTTAAATAACCAATTTCAAACGTCCATAAGTATACCGTTATAATCCGGACTCGCAAACGGTTTTCGCCTATACGTTCGTACCAATGAGTACTACGAGGATATGCTAAAAGAATAAGTCTCACATCTCTCAAGTCGATGGTCAACATAAGTCAAAGTCCTTACCTCTAGGGCAATTTCGTAAATTCACGCTTTTAAAATAAAATAAAAACGTAAAATTTGGAACGGCTTGTTACATATCGGGTTGGGAATTAATTTTTAATGAACTTCTTATTCCAAAGTCGGGCTAACAATAATATTATTTAAATTTATTTTTGACAAGATTTGAACTTAAAATCTTTCACTTATAAGTCAAGAAAAGTGAAATACAACTAAACTGTAGTATTAGGTAACAAATAAATTTCATAATTGCAAAATTAATTAATTCTTCCTTTCTTTTGTCGAAATGATGTATTTTCTTAGTTTTTGAATTTATTTCCTCGAGGATTATAAAGCTTTAAACATATTTTTCTGTCTTGGTCAATTTTTTCCTGAGGCCTATTTTGATATATATATATATATATATATATATATATATTTATCAAAAACTGTTTTACTTTAAAGTTAAACAGGGAAAAAATGTTTGATTAAAATAAAATATCCTACTTATTTTAAAACCAATGATCTTCGAGCACAATTTTTAAAAACTGTCTGTAAATTACTTTTAAAATTTTTTTTTAACAAAAAGCAGAATTGATTCTTTATTGAATATTTTTAATTTTTATAATAAGCTCATTAATTTTAAAAAATAACATTACTTATTCTTCTAAACACATTTTTTCCTTGGAGAACAAGGCCTACCACTATAAACCCTAACCTCTTACACTACCATTGCCATTACCACCACCACACCACAATCGTGCCGCCACCACTGCCGCACAACCATACTCGCCACCACTACCACTACAACTACTTGCCGCCACCGTGAACACCACCACCATAACACAATTGCACCATCATCGTTGTTGCCGCCTCTACCACCATTGTTACCTCTGTAACCCAATCACAACGCCCTTTTATTGCAATGTTTAAAAAAGAGGTACAAGTTTGTTATATGTTTTAAAGTTGAGGTGGTAAAATGTAGTATACTGTGTTATTTACTACAATAATAAATAATAAACATTCGAGAAAGGGGACCCGTCACTAAAACCCTCTTTGTTCATTGCCTGAAAGGTGAAAAACCCTCTGCCGTTGCCATTTCTTTTCCCACACTCATTTCTCCCGGACAAGCAAAACTAATTTGGTACAAAATCCATGGAGGTTTCCACCGCCACCCTCCAACCGTCTTGTTCTTTCCCACTCAGAGCCCCTAAACCCGCCACCAGAGAACGCGTCTCTTCTCTCTCCTCCATCAGATCCTCCCCTAAATCTATCTCCGTATCTTATAGCATCACCAAAGGTACGCACTTTATACGTTCTTTTATTTGAAAATTACATGCTTAATTCTTCATCAGCTGGAATTTTTCATGAACGGGATATCGGTTTGTGTAATAATTGTTGTTTTAATCCTTCATTTGGGGTCCCAAATTCACAATTTTTGTTTCTGGTATGAGGGGTTTTTGCTGATTTGGAGTCACTCTGCAACAGATGGATGTTGTTTTCGATTTCTCATAAACTGGGTATTTTTAATTAGCACTAAGCATTCAAGTAATTGTCTTTCTGTGTTATCAAAGATTTTGTGTGTTTTCATTTGTTAAATTCGGAAGTGAGAAAAATATTTATATATAACTCGTGTCCTGAAAGCATCAAAGGAATTGGGAAATACCATGTTAGTTTTTAGGAGGAATTGTTGTTGTATCTGTGCTGAGGGTGTTTGTTGCTGTTTCGAAGTCATTTTTTAACAGATATCTGTCATCTACTGCCAGGTTGTGACTTAGTAGTTAGAGAACCAGTTAAGTTACGGTGGTCCTCTGTTGTTGCTGCTACGGTTGGTGATACAACTGCAGTGCCAAATAGTTGCTCTAGTGGAGAAGAGTTGCCCGTTTCTGATTCTTCTAATCCCATATCGGTGGAAGATCAGCCCAGTGGAAATGGTGAGAAAGGGGAAGAGAAAGGTGGGATTGGGGGATTGGATGACCACAAGATGGCCCGAATATGTGACAAGCTTATTGAGGTTTTCTTGGTTGACAAGCCCACTCCAACTGACTGGAGAAGATTATTAGCTTTCAGTAAGGAATGGGACGATATCCGGCCTCATTTCTATGCGCGGTGTCAGGACCGTGCAGATGCTGAGGATGATCCTGGAATGAAGCATAAGCTACTACGGCTTGGACGGAAATTGAAAGAGGTTGGTATTATGAACCCCTTAAGAGTGATACTATCGTACTTGTTACCTAAATGTCTTTTATTCGGATGTTTTTTTATAGAGTATGGGTGATTTAACCATGTCTGTATGTTAATTTTCCCATGATACTATTGACAAATTCCTTAATCCAATACAACTTCCCCTTCATGAATGAAAAATTTAGCGTTTGTCTTTCTTAAGACAATACTTGTTGGGAGTTAAGATTAAAGGATGTTTACAATTTCAGGACTGATCACTTGTAGTGATGAAATTTATGAGGAATCAATCTGTTCGCGTTTGTTTTATTCAAGGGATGGTTAAATTTGTTTGAATTGAATTGACAGTGGGTTGCTACTCTTTCACAGATTGATGAAGATGTGCAAAGACACAATGAACTTCTTAAAGTCGTTAGAGGGGCTCAATCAGAAATTAGTGAAATTGTTTCCAGACGTCGTAAAGATTTCACTCAAGAATTTTTTGTGCATCTCCACACTGTTGCCGAATCCTATTACAACAATCCGACAGAGCAAACTGGTGAGACTATGTATCATTTAATTATTTGATTTTTTCTGAAAATGTGCACTCTATTAACACATGTTGTGTCTACTTACGAAGCATAAGCATACGTATTATTTAATCGCCATCTTCCTCCTTGCCTTTGTCCATCGTCTCCTTAGTATATTGTTAGAAGGGACAAATACTTGTCCTATCTTCATTTGTATGTATGACACACCTCTGTCCTAAGTTCTAATCAGTAGCGTGGTGCTGTGACAATTTATTTTTTGTATGACTAGCTTTGGCAAGTATTGGAAATATGTGCTTGGCTGCTGTGCAAGCATATGATTCTGCAACTGAAAGCATTGAAGCACTGAATGCTGCAGAGCTGAAATTTCAAGATATTATCGACTCTCCAACTGTTGATGCGGCTTGTAGGAAGATAGATCACTTGGCTGAGAAAAATCAACTTGACTCAGCATTGGTGATGATGATCACAAAAGCTTGGTCAGCTGCCAAAGAGTCGAGCATGACGAAAGATGAGGTGAGATGATGGCTTGCCTCAGAAATATTTGTCTTTCTCCAATTATGATGCACTATCATTACAAATCGTAGGTGTAAGGTAGATACAAGTATCATTTTGATTACTTAGTCGGAGAAGCGGGGAACCTCTTTCATATACAACATGCGTTCAGGCAATGCAATAAAGTTGGATTCTCATGTAGATCTCGGCTATAACTTTTGGCATTAGGGTCATTGATGGTCCTTTATTTATATGAACAGTTAATGGATTCATAGAGGCTACTTAACAGAATTGTGTATCTGTGCCCCCCATGGGAAAGGAACCAAGAAAAGCAGAAGAAGATAAGACAATTTTTCATTTGTTTGGTAGTGTAATGCTCCTGCTAATTTTATTTCTTCGTTTGAATAGGTAAAGGACGTACTTTATCATTTGTACGTGACCGCAAGAGGTAATCTTCAGAGACTCATGCCAACAGAAATTCGGATACTTAAGTATCTTCTCACAATCGAGGATCCTGAGGAGCGTCTGGCTGCCTTACACGATGCATTTACCCCAGGAGAGGAACTTGAAGGGACGGATGTAGATAACCTTTTCACGTATGCATCAGGAACTCAACTACTCTTACTCTTAAATTTGTAGTATCGTAAGAAGTTTAATGGCTATCCTCGTATTTCAAAAGCTCATCCATGCTCTCCTTTTTTCTCCTTGTTATATTTTGTCAGGACCCCGGTGCAGCTTCACACCTGGATGAAGGCTATTGTGGACGCTTACCATTTCAGCCAGGAAGGCACTCTAATAAGGGAAGCAAGAGACCTCATGAATCCAAAGATCATTCAAAAAATGGAGGAGCTGAAGAAGTTAGTTGAAAACAAGTTCCTGTGACAAAGATCAATTAACTCACCTCCTCGACCGTCTATTTATCTCAGATCAACTTGGGATATTCAAAAGAACCTTATCCATGAATCTTTAGATTTTCTGAAGTTTCCGGTGGCATGAGCTGCGACGCTTGGAACTTCAAACATCGAATTGATCTGTCAGGCTTATAGGTTTAAAAATTTTGAGTTATTTCTCGGATTTTTGTAGTCTGATGTACACCAATCCCTTTTTCATTGTAAACTACACAGCTTTGGAAGATTATCGGCTCATAAGTTTGAAAATTAGTCCATTGTAAGTCCCTCATCCTCTGTGTGTTGAAATAATTAACAGGAAACTTTACGCAATCTTGTTAATATGCTTCCACTTGGCGTCATATGTTGTCGGTCTATGAATTTAGACCTATTCACGTAGGCAACTTATGAGCCTGGACTTTTGTTTGGTCGAGTAAGTTGTGGAGTTTCAGAGTAAAATTTTCCCCCCGAGGTTTGAGTTCGGCTCAAAAGTCGGGCCTTGGTGTAACTGAAAAAATCCGGCCCATTACAGGCCCAAGAAACCACAGATCATTTCATATTTTGTAGTTTCGTTATTTTTTTTATTTAAGAAAAATTAATGAAATTTTTTTGAAAGTTTGAGTTTTAACGATAATGGTAAAATAAAAGGTAAACCAAATAGTACTGTGATTAATTTTTTAATGTAAAAATATGATTTTTCGTTAAAATGAAACAAAACTGGAGCTTTTTCTTAAATCTCCCTTTGTTTTTAATTTCTTTCCCATTTGCCAAACGCCGAGTTGAGGCGTCGCCCTCTTGTCAGTAATCAAATTATTACGATGAGAAGGAAAAACATCCCAAAAGTATCGAGTCCACTTGAAATAACAGATTTTTGCGCGCAATTTCAAGCCTCGATCGTATAGATTGCACGCTGACAATTCAGCCGCCGGTATGTTTTCTTGCTGTTTTTTTTCCCCTCTAATTTTTCATGGATTTTCGATTGCTTGCTTGCTGCAAACAGTTTGGAATTCAGAGGAAAACAAAATTAATTTCTAGGTTACAACTTTTAGTTGAGATTTGAATTGAATCTAATTTCTTTCTTAATTCTGTTCAATTATTCATTACTGTTCAATTTTCGGCATAAGGAAATTGTAGTCTAACATGATCATCGGCAGATGAATCAATCAATTTAGTTGAATTGGTAATGAACGGATTTGGATTCTGCTGTTTTTTTTTTTTTTTTTTTTCAGCAAACAAACGGGCGTAGGCTGATTCGCTGCTTCGGAGGGATGAACCGGAAATCTAGTAATTGTGCTATTTGTGAGAATTCAAATCTTGCTTCTATCTGTGCTGTTTGTGTGAATTACAGGTATGAAACCTGAACCAGATCGGGTGTTAAATTTATCGGTGATGTTATGAACCTATTCAAATTGTTATAGAGTCAATGAGTATAACAATTGTCTTTAATAACCAAATAATTATATGCATGCGTGTTGTTTTCAGATTAAATGAGTATAACAATTCTCTGAAGGCACTGAAGAGTCGTCGCGATTCATTGTATTCAAGATTGACTGAAGTGCTTGTCGCAAAGGTGTGTATCTGTCTTGGAAGAGCCGACGTTTCCCTTTCTTTTCTGTTGTTTCATTTTGTATTCCTTGCACTCAAATGGACTATATTCCACCAGATAGAATGATCAGATAGAATCCTGCGAGTTAAGTAGATTGAAATGTTTTATCACACGATATTATCTTGTGTGTTAATGATATTATTTACGCGGTATAATGTTTGCAAATGCCTATGGAATTTGATGTAATTGAAATTCGGAAGTGCTCCATAGGGTGTCTATTTTGTGCCAAGGGTAATATCACTAAAACGAAAATATATTGAGGATGTAAAGATGGGTCGTGGACTCTAAATAGTTTTTGAGTCTTTTGAGGAGGACTTTGGTTTGTGACATGGAACTATTACACTATTGCTTAAAATTAAAATGATGATTATTGTAATATAAGATTACTCATTCATCTTCATTAGTTAACTTGAGCTAGAATAAATCTTGGATAGCCCATATATTTGAAATATGTCCATTGTGATAAAAAAATCAGTGGGATGATCCACTTTGCTTCTTAGGTATGTGCATGGGTACGTCTTGTCATGTTCTTCAACCAATCAATATCACTTTTCCCATAAATTATAGCATATGCAATCATCAGAATTCTGTACACCTGATTTCCAATTGAAGTATCATAATAGTTTATTTGTACTAATGCTTTACACATACGTCAGGGTAAGGCCGATGATCAAATAAATTGGAGACTGCTTCAAAATGAGAAGCTTGTGAGGTTAAGGGAAAAGCTCCGGCGTAATAAAGAACAGCTTGTGCAAGGTTGATGCCTATTGTCAAATATAATCTAGGTTGAAATCAATGATGTATTTATATGAACTTGTTAGACTGATTTAGATGTTTACAGGAAAGGCTAAGATTGAGAAGGCGTCCCATGACATTAAAGTCAAGGATGGGGTGCTTGAATCAGCCCTCTTTGTGGTACCTCATGTTTTCGAATAATTTTGTATTTAACGCCATCATATGATCTTTCAGATATATATTGGCTTCTATATTTTCCTATTTGCAGTTGGGAAAGAATCGTGCGGAACAACTGGATAAGTTCTATCCCAACCTTATATACACTCAGAATTTAGGGCATGTAAGGCATATTTATACTCCTTATATAGATACGTTATTAATCCTTACTAGTTAATGGAAGTTAGTATAGCTTCATGGTACAAGAATGCGTGACGATAACTATGTTTTTACTTTGATCTATTCCACTTTGAAGTGCTGCTATCTTGATGGGTTGGAGATCTATCTCTGCCATGTATTATTTTTTTCCTTCTCTTCTTGTCATTTTTCTTATTTGATCAATAATTGATGGTTGATGTGCTTTGAATTGCAGATGGCCATTACCTCTGAACGCCTTCATAAACAGTCAGTAGTTATAAAACAAATATGCAAATTGTTTCCCCAACGTCGGGTAAGCACTTTAAAACCAAATATTTCTTGACATAAGCACGACTTATGAGTTATGACCTATAATTGTATTCATTATTGTGAACTCAATTTTTTATTATATTGATAAACCTTGATGATTGTGTTAAGTTTTTGGCCGACTTTTATAAGTAGAATTATAGAGCACCCAATTTACTTATTTTTTATGAAAAAACAGCATAACTATAGTTTGGGTGTAGGGTTGTTAAATGCAAGTTTCTTAATGTTCATTCTTTCTTTTAGGTGATTGTAGATGAAAAGAAAAATTATGGATCTGGTGGTTTATACGATCAAATTTGCAATGTATGCTTACCAAGAGGGCTAGATCCACACTCAGTTCCATCAGAAGAGCTTGCTGCTTCCTTGGGGTAATCTCTGTTTGAAGTTGTATATCCAGCGATGCTTTTAAGAAGGATGCTATTGTCGTGTTTGATATAATTGCTATGTTATCTTACTGAGATTTATCACCTCTTGCTGAAAATATGTCGTTGTTCCTCTTGTGTATTTAATATGCATTCCAAAGTTGAAGTTACTGTTCTTAGTTAAATTCTATCCAGTTGGATCATTTTTAGCTAAGGTGGTATCGCATTTTACACTGATAACTGATCGCTATGGTTGGAGAACAGGTACATGGTTCAACTCCTGAATCTTGTTGTTCAGAACTTAGCTGCTCCAGCACTTCATAACTCAGGTTTTGCGGTAAGCACTGTTCACCCTCCTGATGAACTTAAATATTCTATGAAGACCATGTTTTGAATATCTTTGTTTTTTAGCTCTGTTGTTCCCAAAAACCATATTTACTAGGGACTAATGTTTGAGGGGTTTAAAAGTACTAATGATGATTGTAGAATTCATCAAAATGTTCCGAAAGTAATAAGGGGCTTATATATTTTTACATTCTCAGAAATTTCCTTGTGTTTTAAATATATACATACAAAATGAAAGTGATTTATGTGTCAACTTAAATTGTTCATATTGTCAGCTTATAACATGCGTTTATATTTTTCTCAATATTGGGAAGACTTTTGGTTCGGGAGAAAAGCCTACCTTTATCGGATTGGCTACAGTAATCTAGTTTTCCGTGCCGTTAGATCAAAATCTAACTGGTCTCCTTTAAAACAAGTTTAAACCTTGTGAAAAGTTAATTATACACCAAGTTGATAAAATCTAGTGAGAGGTAACAGGTTGAATTAGGCTCCCACCCACTTTGAACTTTTGTTTATCAGTTCCACCACTTCTCATGCAGCCATAGCCCATCTTCACCAGCAAAGCTGGTCGTCGTCATGCGGTCCTTCAAGCTTGTAAACTTCACTCATGATGCAGCCCTTCACTCTCCTTTTTGATCTGATGGGAATATATGGGGTGGGGTATAATGAATGGGAGAGGGGCTTTTATAGTAGAATGGGACAGCATGCCGAACGAAGATATCGACTGTGAAACCGAGGGTTTAGGGCTCAAATAACTTACGCGGTCGTGTGTTTACTTACGATTCAAAACAACTTAATTACTCAAACGCATGTGATTGTGTAACACCACGTAATTACTCAATACAACAGCAAGATTAATTACTCAATACAACATCAAGAAATTTAAGCCTTTTTATTGGGATTAGAGATTTTCGTTTGCTTCTAAATAACATGTAATAAGAATTTATTAGGATTGAGAAGGTAGTGGTGGGGAGTTAAGAAAACCCCAACGCCGCTTGACTATTTGGCGCATAATCTCTCTCTCTCCCTCTCTCTCTCTCTCTTCCCCCCCCCTTCTCTCTCTCTCTCTCCCCCCCCCCTCCCTTTCTGTGCATAAACCTCAATCGCAAATGCTCATCCCATTACCACCTGCTTCGGTGCTCCCTCACATCGAATCCAGGCTAGATAACAAAGAGGATACCTATGAAACTCTGAACGTAGAATCCAGGCCGGATTGAACAACGATGAGCTTTGCGGTTGAAGATTGGCTATTGCTGTGGTGGGACCGATAAACAAAAGTGTGACACGGGTGGGACCCTAACTCAACCGGTTACCTCTTACTAGATTTTATTTGGTGTTTTATTTAAGTTTTTCTGGAATACATTGTAGAAAAATTGTACTTTCATTGCGAACATTCTAGTGAAAGCATTTTGTTTTTATTTCTTGGAGGTGGGCTTTTCTTCTAGAGAGCCACTTGAAGCTTCATTAAAACTAGCCAATAAGCTTTTTGTGAAGTATTTATGCATTAGTTATACCTGTGTTTTGTGTTAAATTTGGATTGTCTTCAGGGTTCTTGCTCTAGGATATGGCAAAGAGATTCTTATTGGAATGCGTGCCCTTCTTCTCGGAGGTACTTTGGCTAGATATATTATATAACATCATTGACATGGCATAAACTTCACAGGCTGTTGACTGACAAATTTATATTGTTGCAGCAATGAATATCCCCTATTTATACCACGCCAAAATTATTGCTCCAGTATTGGGGAAAATTCTTGGTCCGACAAAAGCTCAAGTAATAATTTTGGTGTTGATTCAATAGAATCTGTGAGGAAACCACATCTGGATTCTTCTGGTGGTAGCTTTAATTACACTTCCGCTTCTTCACACACTGTTGAAACGCACAATGATTTGCAGAGAGGGATTTCACTTCTTAAGAAAAGTGTCGCATGCATTACAGCATACTGCTATAACTCACTATGTTTAGATGTTCCTTCTGAGTTATCTACATTTGAAGCATTTGCAAAATTGTTGGCCACATTATCTTCTTCCAAGGAAGTTCATTCTGTGTTCTCGTTAAAATTGGCTTGCTCAAGGTACATTGTCCACAGCTCCCTTCTTTGTGAATTATGTTTTCTGTGTTTTCGTTTCAGTTTCATTGTGCAGATATGAAGTAATAACTGTTAGTTTTAAAAAAAAAAATTGGACAAAAATGAAGTCCTGAACTACTGAGAGAGTTTTTTTTCTTGCGAAGTAATAACTGTTATCTAGTTTTTAACAAATTTTTGGACAATTTTTGCATCATTTTTTTGGGACTATAAATGTATTTTTTTTAAATCTCAATGGTTTGTTAAAGAATACTAGGCATGCTATGAATGGTATATAAACTAAACCTTGATTGGAATTTCGCTTTTAACTTTCAGGTCATGTAAGCAAGTTCAGCAACTAAACAAATCTGTGTGGAATGTGGATTCGGCCATATCGTCAACCACTCTATTGGATAGCACACATACAATGGCACTAACGGTACATTTTTGGGCTAAAATCTGTTTCCTTGGGAGATCTTGGGTTCTTAGTGTACTTTTTTTTCCTAATAAAACATGCTATTGGTTTACCCTATTTGTAGGGCTTATGCCCTGCCATGACCTCAAGTATCTTCCCCTTTTTCTATTCATATTCATAATACAATGCTTCATCTTTTCTCCTTATGATTCCCCTCTCTCATCTTTCCTTCACCGCCCGTGATTGTAGAATCTTAGTGGTCTTTTCTTGGTGTATGCTGCCAATCTGTGTGTTGCTTGACATGATATGATCCAAGTTCCAACAAGGGGCCTATAAAGATATACAATCATAGAATCCTTCATTGGTGCCTAAATATGACTACACACTTTAATACTTCGAAAACCCATAATTGCCTTCTTAGGAATGATCTTCTTACATAGCTTCATTGCTTAGCGTTTCTGCCTTGGGTTTTATTTGAGTTGGAAGCTGGCTGATATTATCATTGACGTCTTTTGACTCTTTTCACATCAATAGAAACAAGAAAGAACTTGGTAACCTGTTAAATTGGTAAGCTGCTGCTCAATGGGTGCAGGAATACTGCACTTGATTTTTATAGATTTTTCTTTCTCATTGCAGAAGAACTTGTATGAAAAAAACCTTCCAAATTATTCCACCACCTTTCTTAGCTCCACTGAGTTGTCAGATGGGAAGAATGAGTCCCTTATTGAAGAATGGGATCTTGTGGAACGTCCTACTTTTCCGCCTCCACCATCACAGCCCGAGGATATTGAGCATTGGACGCGAGCCATGATCATCGATGCTAAAAGAAAATGACTCAGTGCTAGAATGGGGTCTTTCTGCTCTCTGTAAGTATCGTTTGAATAGTTCTCTTCACAATTTATGCTTGGAATTATTTGAATAGTCCTGTTGAACATCGACATTTTCACTGAACTACAGCTTTTATTGGTTTAGATTCATACTTTAAATCGAAACTGGTTAATATTGCTTATGCACCAGTACCAGCCACTATATATATGTCCTGAATACTAACCAATTCTTTTCTATGATAGATGGTTTTTTGAGTATTTTTGCGCCTTCTTTTCTTCGTTTTCTGGCTTGAAATTTACTGTTTCTGATGTTACTTTCCTTTTTTTCCCATACCGGGCAGGTAAATCAACGTAGACTTCAACAAAATGCAAGGCTGGCGGACTTGCAGGGCTTTGTAACTCTTTTGAAGTGTTTTAATTCGAAATTATACAATACTTAGCTTGTAAATATAACTGATCTTGTGGTTGTATTGTATATTCTTGTAAATTAATATCGATCGAAGAGTTTTTACTTTTGGATAAAATACAAAAAACTACCTCAATTATTGGGATCACGACAGTTTCATACATTATCTTTTAAAATTGACAATATCATACCGTATCTTACGAATTTGTGACAATGTCATACCTCTGTCAATTTTTCTGTTAGTTTTTCTGTTAAATGCTCACGTGGCAAGAGACAAGGATCACTTTCTATTAAAAAATTAATAAAATATTATTAAAAATTAAAAAAAATATTTAATATTTTTCAAATATTAAAATAATAAATAAAAGTAAAATTAAAAAAAAAAAACTATTAACAGTAAGATGAGATGAAATGAATCCGGAGTCTTTCTTTTTTCGAAACTAGATATTATTGGAACGAAATGCCTACGAAATACAATAAAATTAGCTCAAACAGTTGTGGCACAGAAGTTTTCCCTATGAAGGAAAGAGTACAATGTTAAACAGCATTGCATGGTTCATAAGTTGGAAAAAGACTTCTCTCACTTTTTCCTCTTCTTAGGGGGCTGAAGGGCCTCTTCCTCGTCCTCTTCTTCATCATCCTCCGGTTCATCCTCGTCCACAATTTCCTCCTCGTCCTTGACCTCGCCCTCATCATCGTCGTCATTGTCGTCATCATCTTCATTGCCTTCATCCCCATCATCCCCATCATCCTCGCCATCGTGATCATTCTCATTGCCATCTTCCTCCTCTTCCTCTTCACCTTCTTCGCCTACTTCTCCGCCTTCTCCTCCAGGGCTGGCTTTGGAATTGTTGCTTTTCCGATTAGGATTGTCCCCAGCGCCTCCTCCGTCTTCCGAAGATAGCTCCTCTTCAGTGTCTCCAAAGCCGCCATCACCGATCTTATCTTTGTCTCCATCTTCGTCACCATCAACTGCTTTGGAGTTGGAATGTTCGCCCTCATCGTCTCCGTGACTTTTCTTTCCACAGGTGGTTGAGAGCGCAGAAGGATCCTGAAACCAAAGAGTAAAAGTGCTACTTAAAACCTACAAGTCAAGAATTAATGGACCACTGTACGTTATATTTTGCTAGCTAATACTAATGTGACCAACTTTCAGTCCAGTGGTAGTAGTTTTATAAATATTGTAAAGGTTTCAAGTTTAAATACCCTTTATTGTTGATTGGTATTTTGCCACATGTGTTTGGGACAGAGTTGTCTGTGGGCGTGGGATTGATTATCATTTGTTCATGGCTCCATAAAAGAACGAGAATGATGGTTACTTAGGCGTCCATTTGCATTGATAGTTGATAGTTACTTACATGAGCGAACAAACATGTATTTCCAAACTAATATTAACTGTGAATTATTTGTGATATACGTATAATAATAGTAGAGGTAGCAAAGATTTTCTTAAATTTCAAAATCCAAACTGACATGACAGGTATTGAGATAATATCTGAAATATTTTTTATTTATTTTTAATTTAAGAAATGAGCTTATAACTTGTACGGGTACCGTTGACTGCCATAGCAAAACAAACAAGAAGACACAGAATATCCTATGATCCTATCATCATATTCTTCGAGAAAATAAAATAAAAAATAAAAATAGTGGTGAAAAATAAAATCATAGAGAAAACTGGAAAGGAGAGTTTTATGTGATTTCGAATTTAAAAAGAAAAAAATATAACGAAAGAAATAAAAAAAATAAAACTGAGCTACTCACTTGAGGCAGAGAGAGCAAGGCAGCGGCGGTGAGCAGATTCGCAAGAAGAGCATCCCAGGCGCACGTTAGCAAGAAAAACTGACCAAACGTAGCTTCAAGTAGTTGAACGGCAGCAGAAGCACCACGACTCATCGACGTACGGCTTTTGGTCTCCATTTGTACGGACTCGACGACGTACGCCAAACGCCCTGTCAAGTTAAACAACGATCCAGACGGACCTTCAGATCTGTTGCCCCATCTTTGGCGCCACCGTTGGATCAGCCAGTACAATTACAAATTTTTTTCACAAATTTTAAATATATAGTAAAATAAAAATAAAATAAAACGAACTGTAACTACTATAGCAGCCAGCCGGAGAGTTTCCGGGAAAACTAGGAAGGGAAGAAAACGACGGCGTCGAAGAGAGTGGTTACCTGAAGAGAGCTGAGAGCGACGTGGAAGTAGTTGATACTGAATACTTTGGTTTGCTGAGAGAGAGAGAGAGAGAGAGAGATCTGAGAATTGTGAAGCTTGTTCGTAGCTGTTGCGGTTCGGTGAGAGAGTTTGTTTGTTCTAAAGCGTCAGTACGTAAGCTTTGCGTTGGAATGGCTTTGATTTTCAACCGTTGGATTGTGATCCTGGGGAGAAAGGTTCTCTCTCTCTTTGTGTGTTAGAGAGAGAGAGAGAGTTCGTTTGTTCTAAAGCGTCAGTACGTAAGCTTTGCGTTGGAATGGCTTTGATTTTCAACCGTTGGATTGTGATCCTGGGGAGAAAGGTTCTCTCTTTGTGTGTTAGAGAGAGAGAGAGAGAGAGAGAGAGAGAGAGAGAGAGATTGGCATAAAGTCGGAAATGAATGAAGTAGGTTAAATGGGGGCAGCATGGGCAGTGATACAGTACCATGCTTAAGCTGCCCGAAGAGTGCTTGTCAAACTTATGATATATCGACCCAAAAAACGTGGAAATATATATAATAACTTACCCTTTTGTATTTGTTTTATTTTATGGCATTCAACAACTCTCGTTTATGAAATTTGAGTTTGAAATCATTTTCGTTGAAATGGGAACGTAGTTATTCTATTAGACCCAAATCTCCGCAGATGAAAATGAAATAACTTTGAGCAATATATGTGATGACAGAGAGATAAAAATATGTTTACAATGCGTATATCCACTTATCATTAACATAAATTTTTTCTTATGATTAAGTTCTTTTTTAGTAAATCCAATTAATTGTTAAAGACCGATGAGTAATCGTGGTACAAATAATTTTCATTTTTCAAGCTACATTATTCTTTCCCATAGTTAAATGGGCGTGCTATAAAACAATAGTCCTTCATGAAAAATATTTCAATACATAGTCACATTATCACATGTTGCTAGCGGGTGTTCTGATATTTGACACATATGATCTGTCGTTATCTTAATTAGTTGGACAGGCTAATCATCAACTTAATTATCATTTTCTGTGAATTGGTAGCTTCTTCGTTACTCTTGGCTCAAACCACTTTGTTGGAGCACTGGAAAAAGCAAAAAGAAAGAGATAATAGATAAAGAATAATATCATAATCTCAGCATTTGTCCGCACTAATCTCCCAAAATCTTAGAGACAAAGTATTCTTTTTGTGAAAGTGTCCAAATTCCACTGGTAATGTTTGTTCTAAAGGACTTCCACACTTTTATTTGATTCTTCTTTTAATCCTCCACCATATATAGAGATATGAGTTTTGCCCTCTCACACATTTTTTTTTTTCACGTGTGAATGGTTGAGATTTAACTAAATTTTAATCACTTAAAATCTCAACTGTTTAGTTGTGAACAGAAAAATCTTCTATTGCAATTTAGTTAGGGGGAGAACTAGGTGAATTGGGCTGAGTTGAAGAGTTGGGTCGATTTGTTGGGTTGTACTCTATCCAATCCTTTACGTAGTTTTACCACTGAAGTCATTCAAGACAAGAAGCTTTTAATGAAGATATTGACAAATTTTTTACAAAATGACCCAAATGACTTACGGTTAATAAACTCAAGGACCATTTCTCTCAATTTTCTTTGTCAGATACCAAAATAAAAAGTTATGCCAATATCAAAGGTCATTTTGGCTAAAAAGCTAAAAAAAAAAAAAAAAAAAAAAGCTCAAAGACCTTGTTGATGGAAAAAAAGTGGATCAACTTAGAATAATGAAGTGAACCTCCATGGTAGTGGCGGGTCAGGATTTGAACCTTGGGGTTTCCTATTTTAAATGTCCAAGTTTTCTAGATAGAAACAGAGCGCGAAAGTCGAAACACTAAAAAAAAATTCCAATCTATTCATTGAGGCATTTCTTCAAATACTTGTTGGCCTTATTGTCGTCAACCAAATCATGTTGTGCACGTGTCAAACATATATCGACATATGCCGAAACAATTTGATAAGTAATATCGAGAGGATTTGTTGAGTGCTTTTGAGCAACCTGTCGACATATACCTAGCAAACATTACATCAAACACTTATTGAGCACCGTAAGGACCCGTCCAAACATTCGGAGGGTCTCGAAAGATCTTCACATGTATATTTCCCAAACTCTAAGTGGTCCTAGGACTACCTTGGTCCCAATGTACATCCGTCTCTGTCCGTAGTGGTGTTTCAATCGTTTGGCAATTATGCCTCGGCAATTTGCAAGGAAGGAATGATAAGTATCGAAGAGCACCGGTGAGCTTTCGATGCTCAAGTTAGCAAAGAATAAAATGCCACATGGACAGATTGAGGGTAATAAATGACAATTTCTTGGAAGAACGTACAAATCAATGGTTAGCCATGCATAGTTCCAAAAGTGTAGTTAGGATCGATGTGGGACTCTACGAAAGCCATTGTGGTGTTGATACAAGTCTTGGAGCCAGTGGGCTACTAATTGGAGGAAGAGAGGGCTCCCAATGGTTATGGTTTAGCGAATGACTGGTTGCTGTGTGGAGTTGCTCTCCACATGTTGGGCTAAGCCAAGACCAAATTGGAACCCAATAGCTCATGTTTTTGTTTGCATCTTGTTCCTGCGCAACTTTCATTTAGTTGTGTAAAATCTACTCCTACTTTTAACATGAGAAATAAGGAAGAAAGGAAACTTCCTTCTTATGAAACACACCAATTAATTCTCACAAATGTAAAACTAAAATCTCTGCAATCCATAGACAAAAACAATAGATGAAGCTCAATCATAATGAAGGCCCCCTGTAAAATCATAGTGAAGGAAGAACATGTAGAAAAAGATGCTAGAAGGGAGCCGAACTGGTTCGCCGGAGTTGGTATTTAGGCATAGAATTAGGGTTTGAAGATAAGATCATTTCCACCTCCTGCAACCAAAAACACCAAGCAGCAGTAAGTATAAATTTATCCAATCTGTCTTGCTTCCCTTGAGCTAGATATAATTAACACTTTGCTACTATATATATAAATATAGTAGGGTTAGTTTCATTTAGCACTAGCGTAGTTTAGGGTATGTAACAATTTGGACATTTATTTGAAATTTGAGGCTGTGGTGGTACCTTTTGCTTTTTGAGCCAGCTATTCATTTTTCTCAGCCGGAATACTTCATGCTCCAACTGGCTGGTATAAGCCTAAATCATTAAACAAAAGAATACTGAATATATAAGTGGCAAGTTTTTATTGAATATCTATTTTACGAATAACGGATAATGTTCTCTTGCTAGACTTATCTTGCTAAACAAATGTTTAAGTTGTCAAACTATTAATCTGGGTCACACATTCAGGTGAAAATAGTTTGACAAGAGAACATTTTTTGAACTCTAACTACACCATAAAACTTGTGTAAGATTCAAGAACTTAAACTTGAGTATAACCTGCTTTCTTGCCCTAGACCTGGCAGCTGACTCACGGTTCTTGATCATCCGCTTCTGCCTCCTTTCTATCGTTTTCTCCTTGATTTCATCAGAAAAATGGCGCTTCCGCTCAGCGGTTGCTTGAGATTCTGAAGACGATGCTGATATTGCAGGCATTGGCATTGACATGCCCGCTTGGTTCTCCGAGTAATCAAGATTATTCACAGCTGAGCTATCATATACTGATTCAAAAACCTTGAAATTTGAATCCAGCATTGTCATTCGCTGCTGAACAGAAGACACTTGAAACTGAAACCAATCTGCCGGCTGCGACACCGTAACCGCTGGATCAATACTCATAACCGGCTGAGCATTCATCATTGCATTTTGGTTTCCAGAGTTAATGGCGCCGGTGCGAACTAAAAAATGTTCAGGTGTAGCTGCTGTCTCCCTAATAATACGTTGGTGCAACGATTCGTTGACCGCAGCATTGGCATGCTCATGGTGAGAAATCCCCTTCCATACTTCATCAGCACTCTTCTTACTCAATGCTCCATTCAAATTCCCGAGAAAAAACGAAGTGGGAAAAGAGGAAGAATTAGGGTTTTGTAGCAGCTGCCCTTCATCAGCTGATATCACATTTTTAAGTAACTCATCAAAATGCATACCATTCAAAGGCTTGCTGCCTATATTTCCGAGCTGGCTTTGAACCTCATCCAAATTAGCCAAAGGAGGAAACTGCGGCCTCTGATCACCTCCATTTCCAGACCCCAAAGTCCTGTCATCCATTACTCCCAAACCCTAAATTTGATTGAAAATATTATTGGAGAACTTCTTAAAACAAAGTTATTCCCAATAAACTGTTCACAGTGGAGAAAAAACGGTAGTGCATGCAATACCAATTAAGAAGCATGCATGATCAAATTTAAGTCAATTTTTTTTTCACTCAATCCAGAACACAAATATTAGATACTTATATGTATATCGGAAATTGTAAAAGAATAGAAAAAAAAAACAATTGTTAAGGAAAAACTAAAACCATGTGTGATGAGTTAAGTAGGACGGACTTATGGTGATTAGATTGTGTAGAATGAAGAGTGAGGAGTAGAGAGAGCCGCATGAAGAATTTTTAGGAGCGAAATCTGAGCCGCCAGAAATGATCTGGATGAAGTTGATTTGTTGTAGTGGATCCTACTTTTAGAGAGAGAGAGAGAGAGAGGGTCATCAAGTTCTCAACAGCCATACCAGATTTTCTTGCTGCTTTTGTGGGAGACCCAACCATCCACACACTCCCTTGTTGGAAAATTTGGCGGGATGGATGCTACTTCTTCTGCAAGGATTCATATAGGATGACATAATGATAATTTTCATTTCTAAAATTAATTTTCAATACTAGTTCTTCCAATGCCCCCCTAATAAATAACTTTTAACCCACTAAGACTATTGTTTGTAAAAAAAAAAAAAAAAAAAAAAAATCAACAAAACAACGCAACTTATCTTTTAGAGTGTAGAAACCGCTCTTTGTCGATGCTTGATTAGAATAAAATTTTAGGTTTAATCATGTAATTAGTTCATTGTCCTTAAGAGTAGATATCTCCTCTTAGAGATATTTCGATATAGCAAGTTTTGTCACCTTACCCTCTAGGATACCACAATACTTGAGCTGGGTGAGCAGCTCGATTGTTCCCTTGATTTGAGACTTTCAAAACAAGCAAAGGGAAGAGCATATAGTAAGAAGTTCCAATCATATTAAGAAAACTGGGTCAGTCTGAAAAAAGAAGGGTGGATCCCATATTCGGTATAGGAAAGAAAGATACATATAGAATAGAATGATATTTTTCATAGACGTTGGTCATTTACTACGCATATAAAAGTTGGAGAATTAAAGAACAAATCGGCACATTAATAATCACTAATCAGATGAAGAGAGGAATGGTTGCACGAGTGCCACCATTCCAATTCTAATGATTGTTTCGATGAACCATGAATAATAATACCAACATTATTGACTAGAATTTTAATTCAAATATTCAATAAATAAATAGATTTGAAGAAAAAGGAGTCGTTACTATGAATTTCAACAAGCATTGTTTGTGTTTTGAAAT